TTAATTGTTCACATGTTTGTCTCCCCATGTGAATTGTGAGCTTTTTGAGGGTAGGGGCTTTGCCATGTTTTTCTTCATACTCTTAGCCTGTAAGTTAGTAAGTTAATAAATAACAGTTGAATAAATTCTCTTTTGGTGCTACCTTATTCATGGAGCTCACTAGTCTTCATTCATTTATAGAACTTATTCACCTTTTCTAAAAATGACTCCTGAACCCTTCTGTGCACATCTTGTTTGTGCCAGTGCCCCATTTTAACTCCCACTCCTCCAGTAGGCCAGCTGCATGCACACACAGCGTCATGACTATATATCTAGTTTCTCCTGTAACCTATTTTCTGACCTTCACCTTGAATGCCACACTACTTTGTAGTCATGTGAACCTGGTTACCAAGGGATTCCTGGATCTCACTTCAAAGATTCCACTGATGTGAGGATCTGAGTTTTGAGAGTTACAGTACTTCCTGTGATCGGTTGTTGCATTGAATTATATGCTGCAGATGTTATCTGAATACCCACAGAGCTATTTCAGTTTGCATACTAGTAAATTAAATCACATTATTTGAGAAGTGGTCAAGCAAAGGCTAAATTCAGTGCTGTGATAAACTCTAGATAGTGGTTCCTGAGACTTCTGTATTTTGACTGGAAAAATGTGAAAAAATGGAGGAGATTGAAATGACATCACTAAGAAAACAACTACTATCTGCTATCACTATAACTTAAAGAAAACATTTTAACATCAGAAAAGAAGGGAACGTATGATTTCATTGTAAGTCTCTGCCCTTTAAATTGAATAAATTAAGCTTTATTATGGACTTTTATATTTTTCTCATTTTGCCATGTATGATGGAACTTTTGTCATGAATCACCACTGGTTTATGGTCCAGCCTTTGAGAACAACTGCCTAGACTGAGCTGAAGCAGGCAGAATGCTATTTAGGTTAACATGATGCCCCAAGTTGTAAAGGGCTGACAGTACACTCTGATATTTGATCTCATATGTGATACATTATATTCTCCAAGTTGGCCACATCTCCTGTCCCACATGCTCTTCTTACAATGTGATCATGACCTTCCTCGCAGAGAGAGGTGGGTCTCTGTTTTCTCCTCTTGAATCTGGCAGGCCTGTAACTACAGTGGAAGTAATACTACATGATTTCCATAGATCATAAAAAGTGATGCAGTCTCCAGCTAGTTCTTTTGAGATGCTCAGTCTTGGAAACCAGTCTGTATGGAGAGACCCATATGGACAGAAACTGAGGACCCAACCCGAAGCCCTGTCTGAGCTGCAGCTAGCAGGCACCGCCAACCTGCCGCCCTGTGAGTGAGCCATCTTGGAAGTGGATCCTCCAATCAAGCCACTGTGTCCAGTGCTATATGGAGCAAAGACAAGCCTTCTCTGTTGAGTCCTACCAAAATTGTAGATTTCAGCTAAATAAATGATTGTTGTTGTTTTAGCCTACTAAGCTTTGTGTCTGTTTATTATGCAGCAATACATAACATACAAATTTTGGACTCTGGAAGCGAGAAATGGACATAACAAATCCTAAAATATGTGGTGTTGCCTTTTTGGGACTGGGTGACAGGCAGAAGCCCAAAGGGCCTAGAGGAGAGTGTCAGTGAAAGCCTGCAGAATGTTTAAAAGCCCCCAGGAGGTGATTAGTGGGAGTTTATAGGAAAGAGAGGAAAATGTTATTAGAAGCTGGAGAAAAGGGGCCCTTGTTATGTGATGGTGGTAAGTTTGATCACACTGTTTTCTAAGTAATGAACTCAATGATCATGCTAAGGATTTTTCTAGACAGTAGTCAAGTGCCACTTGGCTTCTTCTACTGGTCTGAGAGGAGAGGGATGAGCTGAAAAGGAACAGCTCATTTTTCCAATGAAATTTAAAAGAAGTATAATGCAGCTAGTACTCACTGGGTTTGAAAATAAAATTGTTTCTCACGCCTAGCCTTTCTAGATGGCAAAAAAGTCTCAAACTAAGAAATGGATTCTGAGAAAGGGTAAAATCTCAGGTGGGATTGTGAGGTCATAAGACCTCAGAGATATCTAATGTGATGCCTCCTGGAACTTCTGAGACTTGAGATAGGCTTTCTCAGTGCATCTAGGAAGATGACCTCTAGCTGCTGAAGGCAATCATTGTCATAGCTAAACCAAAATGCAAAGAGAATAGCTCTCTGTCAATAATGGTATCTATCAAGCTTAGGAACCATCTAATTGGTCCTATCTGAGTCCCTTGCCTATCCCTGAACCAATCATTGTGTAGGGGGATGAGAAACTATGACTAACCAGCCTTGTCTCAGTCAGATAATATAATCTATTATGAGAATATGGGGTTGGGGGAAACACACTGGGCAGCCTCTCAGCCCTCAGCTCCTAAAGCTATCATAGTCTACTCAGCTGGCTCTACGCAAAGTGGTGAAATACAGATTTATTACTGCTTTTCTTTAAGCTCTATGGGAAAGATTGTGATGTAAAGAAATTCAATCTCTGTATTTTAGTTATGTTCTATCTCTAGCAGAACTGTGTAATCTAGAGCCAACTATGAATTTTGTCCGAGTTTTCTCAAGGTATGAGGATTTTTCTAAAAGCCATGGAGAATCTGAATTTTGAAATGTAAATCTTCATGAGAGTTACCCATCGGATCTAGGTGACCCAGGTGAGTTGAGGGGACAGCAGGATAGGAACTAGATAGAAGGCAGAAGGACGTTACTCAAAATCATATGAAACATTTTAGAGAATTTATTGGTAACTAGGAGAGGTAAGTAAGGGCATGGGAAAGAGTAAGGAATGGGTCTCTCAAGAGACAGCCTGTGAATAAGACAGCTTTTTTTTTTTTTTTAAACATGGTCCTTGGGATTTATGAGCTGAGTGGTTTAAAAGACCCATACCAGACAACAACAAAATGTTGAAAGCAAATATTTTGGAGAATGGTGTAGGGTACCAGTGGTGGTTGCTGCAATCAGGGCCAGACATAGAGCTGTTGACTAAAACTCTTTAGTTTCAAGTAGGAATTGGGACTTTCATTTGTCAAAGGTTCTTTGATATATAGTGATGGCGAAGATTGATGATAGACTCAGTAATCTCACTGCTGTGGTGCTGTTCTTGGTGCCCTGGGGAAGAGCATTAGAGGAGTATGACATAAGAATGGGAGAGTAAAATTTCATTGTCACAAATAACCTCCTTGGAAAGAAACTATAAATTATTAACAATGTTCATTTGTTTAAATTTGCACTGTGTTTTTAGTGATTAGATTTGAGGCAAAAATATATTAAGTTTGGCATGACAGAATTTGGGATACATTTGTCCTTCTATGAAGAGTGAGTAATGTTGTTTCTTCAAATTAAGGGCCAACAGTGTGAAATTCCCATCGAAAAGGAAGGATAGGTAGAAAAAGAGAAAATGGGAAAGGAGGAATGAAAAAGTCAGATGGGAGAGCAGGCAGTGTTGAAGAGGATTAGGGCTGGAGAATGAAAAACAGAATATATATTAAAAAAACATGTAGGAGGTTCTTCTGTCTACATGGTGAATGACCATTTCAGCTAATATGTCAGGCAAAGAAAATCAGTTAAAACGGTTGTTGGTATAGACACAGTTTGAGCATTAAGAAATGCAAGCTTCCCTGGAACTGGATCACTAACCTGCTTCTGGGTTGGGGATGGGGATGTTGTATATAGCCAATCAGAATGAAAGTAAGTTGGCAAGCAACCAATGGGAATTAGGCATGGAAATGACTTTGGGTGTGATATCAGTTGGCAGTACTGTGCCTGGCAAACAGCCACAAGCTGAGCATTGTTCTTTGTGATTTTCAAGAGCCTTCATCTTGATTTCAACTCTGAACCAGCTTAGCCTTGGAAGACGATATCTCTGGTCTTGGTAGTTTGGGGAACCTGATTTGAGAGTGATGCTGTAGTGACAGGTGGGGATAGCAGGATGTGAGGATGCCAAGGACCTGAAGGGCTATTTGAGGGACAGGTGAAGTGATTTGAAGATGTAGCATTTTGAATCTAATTTCTGGCCCATCTGTGCTTCACACCAGAATCATTATGGCTTGTAGACCAAACAAATGCAAAATGAAGAACTAAAGATTAATTCTAAATATTACTGGGGATACTTCAGGAACCTCTAGGAATTCTTAGGTTAAGGTTAACTGCAAGGAAAAATAAAACAGAACGAGTCCTCAGGACCACTGCATAGATTTGTGCGGGCTATGTTCTGCACAAGGGCAACAGCTGAGGGTAGGTACTGGGACTGAAATCGAACCCATTATTTATGTGCCAAGCCATGTGCCCTGTCCTCAGGAAGGGGGACTTTTTCTAATTCACTTAAAGGCACCATATGATAAAACCTCAATTTTAGTATTTTCCTTTGTTTTTAGGTTATTCACCCCCCTCTCCATCCCGACCTTATCTGGTGTGACTCAACTTTGACCTCGTTTCCCATTTTGGATTTGGAGGGGCCCAAGAGAGGGAAAAGGGAACATGGGGTTGAAGTAGTAAAGGGGAATTCCAGAATGATTTGTACCCATAGAGGAAGAGGTCCCCCTCAAAAAGTTCAGTTGATCAAATATTATGGGCCACATACTGTGTGCACAGCCTTAAGGAAAAATAATATCCAGCCCCGACCCTTGAGAAACTCACTGTCCAATGAGAAAGGCAAACACACTACTAGATCATACAATGATTAAGTGCAGAAATCAGTGCAGTCACTCTCCCATATATATGTAGAAGTGTGAGGAAGAAACACTAGCCCTGCTGTTGGTGTTTCTGTAAAATGCTCTTGGAGCAAGAGGTAGAACAGAAGGCATCCATGTTTGCCCTGTGGCAAGAAGAGATGTGCTCAGATCTAAGTGTGGTACAATCTTAGGTAGAAAGAACGTGGATGCACTGGGACCTGGCAAGTCTCATTTTCTTCTTTTTGCGTATTAGAACAGGTTAGTCTGTGGTGGTGAAAATAATTCACATACGAATTCGTCAAGTTACGACTGAGAAAGCCATGTCAAACATGAACTCTTCCTTCTGGATGCAAAGAGAAGGTAACAGGCCTGAATTATTCTGTGGAAGTTCAGCTGGCTACACCATCAAAAGTGGACATTTCATAATGCTTGTGTGTTCCACTATTGTTTTGGGAGGTAGGTGGTTGTTTCTGAATTTCATCTTTCCTCTGCCCTCTGAACCTTTCTCAGTGCAGAAAGCGATCACAACATCAACAAAAGAAGTCCAGTGAGACTCTAAGATGTGAGTGAATGCCAGCAATGTAGCTTCATTTAATTATCAGTAGTGTCTACACTATGTTCCTGCCTTCAGTGGCATGTGCTAAGCACAGCAGAGGGGTAGGCAGAAGGGGAATTAGACAGTCCTTGACCTCAAGGAGTCCTCTCGCTGGGGAAACGGATAAACAGTAATTACAATGCCAGTGGGGTTAGTTGAACTGTCAAGTCTCATGCCGCCGGCCTGCCAAGCTTAACCTAACCAACATGTATCTGGGATGAGGGGAGGGTGATGGGGGCAAATAGGACCCAGACATTTGTTTCACAATTTGCAAGTTGCTGTCATCAATTTTGCCCATTTTATTATGGATTTGATGTGATTTTACTTCAGGGAACATGGCACGCACTCCACCCCTAGTGGGAACTTAGGAGAGACTTCACAAGTAAGGGCCTCTTCAATGATCATTAAGAATTCAATAGGTATGGTGAATGATATTCATGCAGATGAGACACCAGATTAAGAAACACAGGTACTTTATTTCCCAGTTCAATGTTAGTGATTAGGGAAAAGTTTCTAGTCCTCTTTAAAACTTCTTTCTTTGGGGAAAAAAGGTCAGCTGCTTTAAAATTCTTTCTGGAATTGGGAAGACTATAAAGAAACAATGAAGCAAACACTCATAAAAACTTCTTCAGTTTTACTTACCAGAGAGTAAAGTCACCTTCTCTGGGGTGAGGCTTTAAAACACACACTAATGACCCTGGTCCCCTGTGGTACTAGGAGGTGCTGGTGACCATGAATTTCACCAGTTCCAGATCCTTGATGATTACATAGAGATAAGTGCTCCAGCAGTAAAGGGCATTGCAGAAATAGTTTTAGAAACATGACTTTAGCCCCACACGAAAGAAGTATTCAACAAATATCTACTGATTTAGCTGGAAGACAGGAAATGCAGAATCTGGAATGCCAGTGAATCTTGCCCTAGGCATAAAGTAATTGAATTATAGTCCATATATTGCTTCTGGAGGGAATGAACTGAATAATGTTGGACAGAGAAGAGTGGCAAGGCAAGAAAATGCATGTAGGCAGAGAATAACCCGTGTCTTCTGTGACTTGTCTGGTGAGGGCAGTTTTCCCTATAGTTAGAGCTCAGTTGAAAGTATTTCTGGCTTTTAGGAAAGCTATAGAATATATGTTACTGTAGTTATTACTAATAAAAGGTGTGCTATGTAGATATGAAGTTTGGCTTTTCATAATTCCTCATCCTCAGATCCATAGGGAGGACACTTGTACAGTGATCCTAATGTGCCCGTCGGTGGGCAAATGGGAGATTGTTGGAACTTCAGTATTTTCCAGATTCACCTGTGAGAGAGGCTTCATTATGTGTCTGAAGAGACAGCATTTGTAATAGCTGTCAATTGTTTATTCATAATGATGTGACACTCAGGAATTTCAAATTAAATAGAGAAAGGGGATAGTAAATGTTTCAAAACTATACATTATGTCTAAATAACACATACATGCGTTTCTTCAGGATTTTTGAGGACCTGTTTAAAGAATTCTGAGGTCACTGTCTTGATAATTCTTTCTGTGGTAGGATTTGTGATAGGACAACTGGCTCACAATTCTGTGGAGGTAATGTATGTATAATAAATTAGTAAATTAAAGAACAAAGACCAAAATCAAGGTCCACTCTCACCCCTACCCGTGAATGTATGGAATTAAAAAAAAATGTGAACAGCTGGGGTGCCTGGATGGCTCGGTTGGTTAAGCGTCCGACTCTTGATCTCGGGGTTGTGAGTTTGGGCCCCGTGTTGGGCTCCATGCCCAGCTTAAACAAAAAAATAAAAATTAAAAAAAAAATGTGAACAGCTACTGAAAAAATTCATCTGGTATTATAAATTTTGAAAATGAAAAACCATACAATAAAAGACATATAAATTAGAGGCGCTTAAGATAAAACACTAGTATGGAAGTAAGGAAAATTGGATTGCATTCTTGGGTTCTTCATCGTCTGCCTTGGGAGCCTCGCTCTTGTTTCTTTCCCCTGTCCATATACAGGCTTCATCTGTGCTTTTGTCTGCAACACCCATGGAGACGTTATCAAAGGCAGCTGTTATTGTCATAATGAAACATGGTTATTCTTTCCTAACTGCTAGATTCAATGCAAAAGGTGTCATATAATATATAATATAGATACAAGAAAAATTTTTATTAATTTATTAACTCTTGATTTCAAATGCATAACAGTGTGATCAATAATGATTTGTCTCCACTCATTCTTTTTATTTTTTAAAAATGGAGACGATGCTTGTATCTATCTAGGATTTTAAAAGCCTCTTGTTACTCTTCCGAAACACCCAAGTTACTACTAACATCGTTTGAGTGTTTACTATGTGCCAGGCTCACTTTAAAGTGTTTTGTGTTTATTAGTTTATTAGCTTATTATTAATTCTTTTTTTCCAGTGAAATATGAAGCTGTTTAATTTTAAAAATGTGTTTTATTTGAGTGTAGTTGACATACCATGTTACATTGGTTTCGGGTGTACAACATAGTGATTCAACTTCTCTATGTGTTATGCTATGCTCAACTTATTAATTCTTGAGTTAATTCACTCACCTTCACAGAAACCCCGTGGAAGGAGGCATTCTATCCCATTTTACAGATGAGGAAACTGAGGCACAGGGAGGTTAAGTAACAAAGAATAAAATATTAGTTGAGCCCAAAACTTTTTAGTGTACAACCTTCATGATTTATGTCTTATATACACAATATGTGCTATTAGCTATGTGTTATTTTTCTCTACTTGGTTCACTGAAGGACTTTATTATTTTCTTTAAAGATTTATTTATTTATCTGAGAGAGAGGGAGCGAGCGCGGGGGTAGTGCAGGAGGTGGGAGGGGCAGAGGGAGAGAATCTCAAGCAGACTTCCGGCTGAGCAGGGAGCCCAAACCGGGGCTCAATCCCACAACCCATGAGATCCCGACCTGAGCCAACACCAAGAGTCAGACACTCAACTGACTGAGCCACCCAGGTGTCCCAACTCACTGAAGGACTGAAATGAAAAATCCTAAGCAAGTGTTTGTGAAATCACAAGTACCTGTGCAAGTTTCTCTTTTCTGTCTTAATGCAAATTAGAATAAATATCTAACAGTCAAATAAAAAAATACTTATCTGTGAACATCTAAAGTCCTGTCCGAGATTACCAGTGGCAGGGGTATCACTTAGGAAAACACTAATTACAATATTACCACAAACAATGTTTGTGTAGCCCAAGCTCACAAAATTCTCTGGTGAATAGAGGACTGTACATAGAACTCATCTAGACAGATCAAGAAATCTACGAAACCCATACATCAAAAACTAATGATGTAATGTATGGTGATTAACATAACAATAAAAAATTTTAAAAAAAGAAATCTACAAAACCCTGAGGACTGGCCTCATAGATAATCGATCATTGATTGCAGATTGGAATATACTAAAACTTACATTGATTGATATAACACCAAATTCTAATACCTCAAATTACCTAATACTAATTTCTAATACCTCAGAATGGCAGCCAACTAATTTCTTATTTGTTCTTGTTAGTTTAGGTGTACCAAATTGTCTATCCTCTTCTGAGAACACCAAGTTTTTCACTTTATTGTTATTTTTCACCTATAATTATATTTATGGCTGCTTTGGATGTGGACTTTTGTATCCTCAGGAATGTGTTCTGGCAGGTAAGAACAATTTTAAAAAAATTATGATCACTCTTGCTTATTTATGTTAGCAGACAATATGTATGTCTATAAAGAAGATTAATCATTCATAAATCTCACAGTTTAGTTGTTCTATCCTCCTTATTCTGTGGAACCACTAATTAAAAGGGAGTTGAGGGGGAGAGAGAAGGAATAAATATTTGCTGAGTGACCACTGTGAGTAGGCACTGAGTAAATGTCTCCATTTTGTATATAAACAAATTGCAGTTCAGCAGTTACAAACAAGGCTGATAAATGGCAGAACCTGGATTCTAATCCCACATCTGACTTCATCTTAACTGTCTCTGAAGGTTGGCCCATTATCACTACTAGGATTGTTTTATTTGTGGCTTCTCTCTTTTTTTCTTAATCATTCTTGTCAGCTGATTTTATTTTCCCTTTCAAAGAACATTTTATTTTCTTTAGTTTTATTCTGTATTTTTTCTAACATCTTGACTTAGATATTGGTTGATTTTTAGCTTTCTTATTTTTTGTATTTTGTACATTTAAGGTTTTAAATTTTTCTGTAACTACTCTTTTAGCTTCACCCACGTTTTGATTTTTAGTGTTTTTTGTTTTTGTTTTTATTTTTTTAGAGAGAGAGCGGGAGTGCATGTGTGCCTGCCTGTCTACACACATGGTGCAGGGGAGGGGCAGAGAGAGAATCTTAAGCAGGCTCCACACCCAGTGCAGAGCTGCAAGGGGCTCCATCTCTCAACCCTGGGATCATGACCTGAGCCGAAATCAAGAGTCGGATGCTTAACCAACTGAGCCATCCAGGCACCCCATGATTTTTAGTGTTTTCATTACATCCCAAACCTACCTAAAATTTTTACTATACTTTTTCCTTTGACCCATTGATTATTTTTTCCCCATGTGTGGAAGAATTTTGTTTATTTATTTATTACTGAAGTACAATTGACGTACAATATTATATTAATTTCAGGTGTATATCCTAGTGATCTGATAATTATATACATATGAAATGCTCACCATGATGAGTGTAGTCACCATCTGTCATCATACAAAGTTATTACAGTATTAATGACCATATTCCCTATGTTGTACTTTTATCCCTGTGACTTATTTTATAACTGAAAGTTTGTACCTCTTAGACCTCTTCTACTATTTTGCCCATCCCCCCACCCCTATCCCCTCTGGCAACCATCAGTTTGTTCTCTGTATTTATGAGTCTACTTCTGGTTTTTGTTTATTCATTTATTTATTTATTTTTTAGATTCCACCATAAATGAAATCATATGGTATTTGTCTTTTTCTTACTGACTTATTTCACTTAGCACAATATCCTCTAGGTTCATCCATGTTGTTTTAAATGGCAAAACTTCATTTTTTATGGCTGAGTAATATTCCTTTATATATATATATATATATATATATATA